AGAATTCTGCTCATGACCTCTGACTCTAGTTTGCAGGTTTCACCGCCCTGATGTGTCGACATGTTTCCTTTAAAGAAGGTTTTTCAGTGATGTTGTTATCATAGCAGGTTTAAATCTCGTGTTTCTGTGCAGCTGTACTCACTGTCTGTCTCGTTTCGTTTGATCATCCCTGGACATTCGGCGAGGATGGTCTCTTTGAAAGACGTCACCAGAGCATTCACACAACACTCCATAAGCTGCAAGAATCCACCGAGAGCAACGAGCCGGAGAGAGAACAAACGTGGTCAGGTTTAGGAAAACTGCAGCGTCTTAAGTTTTATAGGAAACTGAAAATAAGAAGAAGTCCACCTACTGCCTGAACAGAGTTACATTCACGACGTGTCTCTAGATATCGAAGTGCTCTCTTCTCCTCCTCTCTTAGCTTTGCATCTGCCTGAAGGGAAACACACAATAACAAAGGTTATAGAAGTCCGTCAAATACAACAGTAGTCTTCAGTCCTGCTCTTTTTCACATATTAACCCATTTAAACCAGGACAGCATGTACGCATTTCAACCCTTCAAGCCGGGAGCACGGATACGTCATTTCTTAACATTCTGTAGTTTTTTAATCATTTCTGGAGTCGTGGCGAATCAAATCATCAAACCCGTCTGCCTCTGATAGGCTAATAAAGCGATCGAATTCATGCTGGGATTTTGCTACATTCTTCGTGAGGAAAGTAAACAATGACGGAGGCAGAGAAACATCCAGCAGTGTGAACAACCTCTTTATATCGAGGTCTTTGGCTCAGACTATCAGCGTTTTCTGTGAGTGTTCATGACTTTAGGTGAGAACAGAGATGAACACACTGTCACACACTTATTTATTTATTTAGCTAGTTATTTTTTAGTTTCTGTTTTTGTCCTGGCACTATACTAGGGCAGCATTTTAGAGTTCATTTTAAGATTCTTTTATTTGTTTTTAAATCTTTAAATGGTCTGGCTCCATCATACCTCTCTGAGCTTCTCCACCCCTACACCCCTGCTCGCTCGCTCGGTGCCTCAGGTCAGCTGATCAGCTGCTCCTGGAGGTACCGAGGTCCAAACGGAAGCTCAGAGGGGATAGATCTTTTTCTGTTGCAACCCCAATTTTATGGAACGAGCTACCCCTCCAAATTAGAGAAGGCCCCTCACACTGTCCATTTTTAAAACTCGTCTTAAAACCCATTTTTATTCATTGGCTTTTAACCCTGCATGAGACTCGGCTCCTGTTTTAGTGTTTTATGGTTTGTTTTTAGTTATTTGTTTCTATGTTTTTAAATGAGTTTCTAAAAACATTGAAACTATATTTTACTTTTAATTCTGCTTTTATTTTATCCATTGTTTTAATTGTTTTTTGATTGTTTTTTTATCTTGTTGTTTTGTCTAGTTATGTACAGCACTTTGTTCAGCTGTGGTTGTTTTAAAGTGCTTAACAAATAAAGTTGAGTTGAGTTGAGTTGAGCTGTTTACCCTTTAACACTTTATTTTTTATATTTACATTTGTATCGAATGGACACTTTATCATGACTGTTTTACAGTAAACTGTTTGTTTTTCTCCAGTTTAGAGTCTTTACTTTTATTCATACAGCTGCTTTATTTCATTTGAGTTTGTTTGTTCAAAGTTTTCAATAATGTGATGAAGGTTCAGAAAAATAAAAGATAATTATCTTTAAAGCCACATGTGTGAGCTCTCAAATACTTTTGTATTTCTACCTGCTACAGAAGCTGAGATATCAGCGTTTTTATAAACCTCAGGGTCTGGGGGCCCCTCTCAGGGTTTCAGAGTCTCAGACCGGGTTCAGGTCTTAGCGGGTTAACATTAAAACTTCTCCTTCAGTGAAATAGTCAACTCTGGTGCAGCTCACGTATTTCATGTAGTTCTGGACGCCATTCTGTTGCAGGTAGGACGGCGCCTGTGTCCGGTAAAACCTCTCCGTAGAGTCCAAGTAGGCCTTCTCAAAGTTATCTCTGTAGATCTGTAACTTGTCCTCCGGGTTGGAGCACAGGTTCACTGTCAGGACAGGAGGACACAGACGGGGTCAGTAACTCAGAGAGAGGAAGTCCTGTTTTTAAACCTTTTCCTGCAGATTTGAAGTGAACAGCTTTGTTAAAACTTCTGTTTCTGAATTTCTTTTCAGGGATCCTCAGAGAGAGTGAAGACAGCAGATTTAGGAGGACTCTGCTGCGAACAACAGAAACTGGTTCTTTTATTTTCGTTTCATTTCCTAAATGTTTTCAAGGACTGGAAAATTGGTCCATCAGGTTTTCCAGGACACGTGTGAATCTAGAACATCTTTGTGTTGATCTCTGCGTGTCTTACCGTACGACTCTCTTACTCCTATAACAAGCTGGGAGTCGAAAGCCTCCCCCTGTCTCTCTGCGTGCACCAGCTTCATGGCGCTGTCCTGAAGGCGACTCTTGATGTTGGAAAAAATGGACTCGTTCCACGTGTCGAGCATCAGCTGGAAAAACACGACAGGAGCAGAAATTAGTGTTGTGTCGTTCGCGAACGATTCGTTCAAAAGAACCGACTCTTTTAAGTGACCATACTGAACGGAATCACTTCCTCGAGTGATTCGTTCGTTTCTCACTTAAGTTGAGCTGAAGTGAGAAACAGTATTGCCAGGCAAATGAACGAGGGACCACATGGACCGACGCCTGAATCACTTGGTGAACGAATCACGCAGTGAACTTCACTCTCTGGAAACATTTGTGTCAGACAAAACTACTTTTTTATTTCTGCTAAATTGTCACCACAACAACTTCCACACAACAGGACACAGCATGTAATAAGTAGTGTTTAAAACCTGCAGCATCCTGTCAGTGCAGCGGTTTGTGAGGGAACGGTTCATGTTCGGTGTGAATTCTTCTAAATGTTCAGTGAACGAATCACTCACTGAGTCCAATTTAACAAGCAGACCTGATAAATATCATACCAGAGGACACATCATGACTTATAAACAAGTTCATTTTTACAAACCTGTTCGTCAAAGAAACACAACCGAACACTCGTCTGTCCCAGAAACTCTGATCTGAACTGAATCCTGAACCGTTCAACTGTGTATCAGTTCAGGAGGTTGGAGATAAATGATTCTGTGAACGAATCTTTTGAACGAATCTTTTTAGTGAACTGATTCCAGTGATTCAGTACATCTAACAGAACTGCTGTGCCCATTACTAGCAGAAATGAGTGAATATAAGGAGCAAAAACACTGTCTTCGTAAAACAGCTGCTCTCAGTCTCCTCCTCCTCCTCCTCCTCCTCCTCCTGCTCCTGCTCCTCCTCCTCCTCTCACCTTGCGTACGATGCTGTCCTCCATGTTGGTTTTCTTGTTGCTCCCCTGTTTGCCCATCAGTGTGATCTCCAGCTGGCAGAAAGGTTTGGGCAGGATGTCACACTGCGTGAAGAACTTCCTCCACTCGATAATGTAGGCCTTGAGCAGTGCTGTGTCATCTTGGTGGCTGAGCACACGCTGCCATGACGACAGGAACAAGTTAGAGATGTTTGAGGAAAACTGGTAGACAGTCACGATTGTTGAGGATGTGAAATAACCATAAATCTACCACTGGGCTGTGAAAACTCAGAGAGATCAGAGTTCAGAGTCAGTAAACAAAAACATTCCTGTTTTTACCTCGAGTGTCTGTCATGTTTTAGTTTCACAGCATCCATCCCTCTCCTGTGTTTCCGACTTTATATCATCTGACCGCTCAATAAAATAACTAAGAACGATCTTCTGTTGAGTGAAGAGGCTTTACTGTTCGCTCATATCTCACACACACACACACGCTTATTCAGACATGAAGTGGACCTGCTGAAGAACCACCAGAGTCTACAACATCAGAGGCCATCATGAGCCGCTGGACAGACGAGAACAAGTGTTACTTACAGATTGTGCTTGTTTGATAAAATCCAAAATATCCTCTTTGAGGGCCTGATGGATTTTTGCTGGTCCTTTATCATCCCATAAACACACGGCGTGGACGTCTCTGGAGGCGACAGAGGGACAGAAACGATCACCAACTTTCACCGATGAGAAAATATGAAAATAGAAACGACTCACAACTCCAAACAAAACTCTTTAAGTTCGTTTGAAAACCTGAACAGGAACATTTAAAAACTTTGTCGCTCATCACGTCTGACTCTCGCTGACTGCTGCTGAAAACAAACAGGAGGGTCTGGGACGTCTGGGAAGTCTGGGACCTTCACAGCATCCTTTCGAAGAGCTCGTGTTCGAGTTGTCAGGAAAAAAATACAGCTCAACATTTTTCTTTGCAGTCAGTGCAGAAGTTTAAAAAAACTGCGCTGTCACGTCGTTAGAGAACAGACTCCAGTCCTGATGAACAAATTTTCATCTCGTTTTGTTCCAGCGTGAATTTGGATTCACCAAACTATAAACCTCACAGTCTGTCGCTCTTTTATTAAATATCTTTATTAAAAATATACCTGTAGATAGGCCTGTCACGAGAACAAATTTTGCTGGACGATAATTGTGCTACAAATTATTGCCGATAAACGATATTATTGACACCGTTTTTTAAATTATAAATAATGATAATATATGGCATAATAATGTGAGTACACCATGTCAAAAGCAATAAACTTTAATTGCTCAAGATTAAGAACTTTGAACTAGGATGAACAAATATAATAAACAAACAAGACAACCAAAAATCAATGAAAATAAAATGGACCCACATTCTGTTTTATCAAAAACTGCATTCAAATAAAAACCACAATCACAACTACAAACAATAAAAAAACAGACCTTGTCTCTGGTACGCAACAAAAACTTCACTCCACACATAACTATTAAAACAAAAAATAAAGTGGAGTCTTGAGTCTGTAAACAAAATTGCACTAAATAATTAGCTTTGGCTGCTAATCCTCAACAGGTCAACAAAGAACATGCATGCGCACCTCAAGCACAATCAACCCCGCGGATGATTGTGCTTGATGGAATGATGAAAGCTGTCGTTTCATCATTCATTGCGTTTGCTCCGCACTGTATCAGTAAGTCTGTGTGTCTGTCTGTGTGCGTGCGCGCGCCCACCCCCTCTCCCCCACCGAGACAAAGAGACTGAATGACTGACAGGAGGGTTCACTCACTGCGTTCATTCCGCACCCAGGTGTCGAGAAAAATGCGCAGAGTGAGACCTCTTCGCTCATCCAGCGTGTTTGGTAGCGAGAGAGGAGGAAAACAAACGCACGTCAATTATCGAGGCTGGCAAAATGACCGACCTCGTTTTTATTTACCGAGCGATAAGGCGATATTGATTATCGCGACAGGCCTAGTGGTAGAATATTCCTCGACTTTTTTTCCCTCTGAGGAGATAATTAATCCAAATTCAGGCTTTTGTTGAGTTTGTTTGTCACAGTTCGAGGTTCCTCTTTCTCTCTTCCCCTCCTGAGGCCAAACAGAGGAGTCATACACGTCCTCAGTTTGATCACTTTTACTCTTTTACTAACTCTTTGTCATTGAAGCTACTCAGACCAGTGTACTCTATTCATTAAAGGGGTCTTGAACCCGTGTTTCCCCCCTAACTCAGATACTCAGAAACTGACTGTCAGCTGTTTTAAAGTTTGTTCTGCACCAACATTCACATAATCTTCATCGCTCCAGCTGAACATTGTGATTTCTTTAAATAAAACTGCTCATAATAACAGATTAGACCACAGTCACACACTTCGCAGAGGAAACACTTAGAAACACGACTTCCCTTTAAGTCCATAAACTCCGTTTAATGCCTCATTGTGGCCTTTAAACTATGGAAACACGACACTTCTCCATTCTGGTTTATGAGTGCGACAATCCTACCGATAAACCGATAAACCGATAAACCGATAGACCATTCTTCTGTGGAGCCAGTGAGAGTGAGGCTAACGTCACTGTTGTCTGGATCTAGAGCAGAAGTAGAAGCTCTACAGTATCAGCTGTTCTTGTCTTGCATTGGTCTCCTCTCTGAAATACAACAGGACTAACGAGAGCGTCTCTTACTTACGAGAACAAATCGAACCACTGTTGCTTGGTGACGGCCTCCTGTCTGAGCAGCTTGAGAACGATGGGCCGCATCAGATCCCACTTGTCCTCAAACTGCAGAGACCCTTTGTTCTGGAGAAGAGGATTGGGAGAGAGGGAAAGAAGGAAGAGGCAGGAGAGAGAAGCAACAAGAAGAGAAGAGGAGAGAGAGAGAGATTCAGAAACACAAAACTATAAAAAAAGAACGGAGTAACTGAGGTGGAGTTTGGTGAGGCTGCTGCTGCTGCTGTGGACGTCTTCTAAAAGGAGGAATATGGACTTTACCAAGTCAAATAAAGCAAAACCACTTCTTAGCTCTCTCTTCTCTGATAAACGATTTTATAACTTGAATATTTGGAGGTATGTAGACTCTGATCTGGATAATTATTTACCCCTAATGGAAGAAATGAATGAACAACAGATCTTAGCTACATGAAGTGAAGGACATAAATACTCCTCAGACGGTCTGCTGCTGTGGACACATGTCTGACTCCAGCTGAATCATCTACGATTGTCCTTCTCAGGCCCTGAGCTCCGTCTCCTCTTAGGTCCCTCTGGACTGTTACTGCAGACGTGAACATCAGCCTCACTGACATTAATAACATCAAAGTAGAGTTAACTACTATCAGGCCTGGAGACTGTAATCACATTAAATTAATCTAACATTGTCCATAATTATTTCTGTCCTGATCCTGTAAACTGAATTCATTTTGTTTCATCTTTACATGATCTGCAACCACAACTCTGTGTGAGCTGCTGTTGTTGTTGTTGCTGCTGTCCCCTGTCTCTGTCTCCCTTACCTATTCTTTCTCTCCTTCGCCTATTCTCTCTCTCTCTCTCTCTCTCTCTCTCTCTCTCTCTCTCTCTCTCTCTCTCTCTCTCTCTCTCTCTCTCTCTCTCTCTCTCTCTCTCTCTCTCTCTCTCTCTCTCTCTCTCTCTCTCTCTCTCTGTATTCCTCCCCTGGTGTCTGTCTAACATCAGTCTGGTCCTCTCCAGGGTTTCTGCCTGTTAAAAGGAAGTTTTTGTTCCTCTCCTCTGTCTCTCATGTTAGATCAGATGAGGTTAAATCTCATCTTAGGTTGGGTCTTGATAATTCATCAAACAGTGAGCGTGGTCTCGACCTGCTCTTGTTCTCTGAAAAGTGTCTTGGGATGACGACTGTTGTGAATCGACGCTTTATAAATGAAACTTGATTGATTCCCAGATGCAGTTCTGGTTCTTCTTACTTTTAACTGAGTCGATGAACAGACTGGGCGTTCAGCTGCTCGACTACAGTACAATGATATTAAAGTTAATGTACTTTTACATATATAAGGTATTGTTGTTTACCTCCTCTTAGACATGAATCTGTCAGATTAAACACTGACTGATATTGTAAATATAAGATCTGAACAGTAGAACAGTAGAGTCCAAACTCAGCAGCTGATCCAGTTTATAGGAGTCTTATAGATAAAGAAAAGTGTGTTTTTCAGATTTATCTGTTATTACTTTGGTTTGAAGGGTTTAAAATAAACTAAATAAACTTTAATCTAACAGAGAAAATGTCCCTTTATATTATAATAAACCCATTTCAGTCCCAAACTGTCCAGTCTTAAATCCAGGTTCTGTTTCAGGTCTTTATTCAGATTCGGTTTCTGGGTCAATAACTGAGGCTCGGGTTCAGTTCGGAGGAACCAAAGGAGACGGGTTCGGTCTGATTCGGACCGGTTCTTCTCGGGTCTGTCGGGATAAATCGTTTGAAACAGAATCCGACAGAAAAAAACACCGGATAACGACAAACTGACTTCAGACTCCGATTTCTGTATTTATCTCCTTTATTTTCACTAAAAGCCTCTATAATGTTTGTACCAAACAGCGGAGGTATTTTAACGTCCGTTTATTCACGATAAATGACCAGAAACGCTTTAAAATCTGCACATAAACATGGAAATATGAGATTTTCAAGAGCTTCTTACCTTTAACAAATTTGACGCCGCCATGTTTCTTCAACTTAACATCTCGCGTATCCTCGCGAGAACACAGACAGACGCTCATGATTAGGTCATGGTGGTTTTTCCTTCAATTAAAACTTTACAAACTTATTTCTACAACTTTAAAAAGGGCAGATCGATAAAAACTAATGAATGATATTAAATATACAGAAAGAGGATTAAGAGGTTTTAATTCTACAAACACAATGAATCATCAGTTTTGGGTGTAAATTAGTTTGTATGACAGACAAACGTTATTGTACCTGTGCTATCTGAACTAGTGTTGTGTTTTTGTTGTTGTGTTTTGTGACTGTTGTCTGCCCCATAGATCACCTGATAAAGCTCTGTAAATATTCCGTGTCTTCCTCTAACCTGATGCCACCTTAGTTTGTGAGACTGCTGTGTGTTTCTTCCCTTTCAACAACAATCAGTGTCTGAGTTTATAATCTCAGTGTTTCCACCTTTACCTGAAGAGGAACTCAATGATGAAGCTGTTTTCCTCCAAGATGAGATTTTATCTAATCATCAGCAGGTAACGATCGAGAGTGAAAGGACGAGCCTGATAATGAGGACTCCTGTGAAGATGTCTTTCATCATCGGCTCTTATCTGCTGACTGTCAGACCCATTATTCACACTCACACAGGTGAGTCAAAGAGTAATCTTTGTCCTCTGAATCAGTTAATCATTCAGCTCTTGACCTGTGAAAGTTGAGGACTTAAAGCCTGTGCAGAGAGGATTCCTCCATCAGCCGAGAGACAACATGGAGACTAAACCCTCAGAAGACACTTTCAGGGACCTGAGGGACGAGAACCGGTGCAGCAGATTTATGAGGAGGTTCAGGAAATTTGATGCCAAAGAGGTTTTTACCTGGTAAGTGAACAGATGAGAGGACAGCAGGTGAGAGAAGAGAGTGATAACGGTCAGAGTAACTTTGATCCAAGGTCTGTCTGAGCTTCAGTTCTGTAGATTTTTACTGATGTGAGAATTATTTTTATCTTTATCAGATCGATGTCAACCAGCTGAGAAACACGAGTCCATTCTTAGACACAAATCAAAGTTTTTCTCCAACAGACCATCCTGATGCTTTCGGTACATTTTCATACTGACATGAACAGAGAGCTGTTTCTTTGAATTGATGATCTGATCAGATCTGATCAGCGGTTTATAAATATAAAAGTCTATCGTTTAAAAAGTGTATAGAGTAGTTTGTGACTGCAGAAAAGGAAGGTAACACTTTTCACTGTGATATATTTTTCTCTGACACATGTGAAAGGACAGTAGCTCAGTCTTTAGGGGCTCAGTTAGACAGCAGTGTGGTCCGGTCCGGTCCGGTCCGGTCCGGTCTTAGTGTTTGAGTGGTGCCGTTCTTGGACCCTGCTGAGATGCCTTTAAGCATGGCGCTCGGTGGTCTACAGCCTCCCCCTCATCAGGTCAACGCTGTCCCTTTTCTAACATTTCCTTCATGTTTGCTGCACAAACATGGACGTCTCACAAATCCTCTGATCTGACTCTAAAAACGTGAAAAAGACTTTAGATAAGATTTATGAGAATAATAAACATATTCAAGAAAAGGACTTTAGCTTGAATCACTCTCCTTCTCCTCTCTCTCTCCATCAGGAAGCTGGCCAGGACCTTGGCCATGGGTCAGGGTCTGGCCGGGCTCATCTGTGGGACGGCCGTCTCCTCTCAGTTCTTGGCCACAAACTTCCACGTGAACACGCCGATGCTGCAGAGCTTCTTAAACTACGCCCTGCTGTGTCTCACCTACACCACCATGCTGTTCTGCAGGACAGGTAAACACCTGGAGTCCTAACAGCTGGACTCTTGGAGAGACTCTGAGTAACTGTTATCCAAGAACATGATGATAAACACGACATGACTGAATTAATCTGACTTCAAACACTGAAGCTCTGGATTATTGAGAAGGATCAGTGCTGGATTATACTTTTATTGAAATGTACTTGAGAATGTGAGGAATTCTTCTTTACATGATC